TCCAACACACCTTCTCAACACCCCAACACTACCTCCCCCAACACTACCTCCAACACCCCAACACTACCTCCAACACCCTCCAACACCCCAACACTACCTCCAACATCAACACTACCTCCAACACCCCAACACTACCTCCAACACCCAACACTACCTCCAACACTCCAACACTACCTCCAACACCCCAACACTACCTCCAACACCCCAACACTACCTCCAACACCTAACACTACCTCCAACACCCCAACAATACCTCCAACACCCCAACACTATCAACACTCAACACTACCTCAACACTAACACTACCTCCAACACTACTACTACTCCAACACCAACACTACCTCCAACACCCCAACACTACCTCAACACACCAACACTACCTCCAACACCCCAACACACCTCCAACACCCAACACTACACTCCAACCTCCAACACTATCACCTCCCACAACACTACCTCCAACACCCCAACACTACCTCCAACACCCCAACACTACCTCCAACACACCAACACTACCTCCAACACATAACACTACCTCCAACACACCAACACTACCTCCAACACCACACTCCAACATAACTTCCTACTCCAACACTAACACTACCTCCAACACCCAAACACTACCTCCAACATCCTCAACACTACCTCCAACTAACACTCAACACTCAACTACCTCAACACCCCAACACTACCTCCAACACCCCAAACTACCTCCAACACCCCAACACTACCTCCAACACACCAACACTATAACACCCAACACACCTCAACACCACCTCCAACACCCCAACACTACCTCCAACACCCCAACACTGCCTCCAACACCCCAACACTACACTCAACACCCCAACACTACCTCCAACACCCTAACACTACCTCCAACACTAACACTACCTCCAACACCCCAACACTACCTCCAACACTCCAACACACTACCTCCACACCTCAACACTACCTCCAACACCCCAACACTACCTCCAACACCCCAACACTGCCTCCAACACCCAACACTCAACACTACACTCAACACTCAACACTACCTCAAACATTTCAAGTGTAAAGATTAAAATGTGTCAAGTATAAAGTGCCAGGTGTCAAGTATAAGGTGCCAGGTGTCAGTATAAGGTGCCAGGTGTCGTATAGGTGCTGTGTCATATATAGTGCCAGGTGTCATGTATAAAGTGCCAGGTGTCAATAAGGTGCCAGGTGTCAAGTATAAGGTGCCAGGTGTCATGTATAAGGTGCCAGGTGTCAAGTATAAAGGTGCCAGGTGTCAAGTATAAGGTGCCAGGTGTCTGCAAGTGCAGGTGTCAAGTATAAGGTGCCAGGTGTCAAGTATAAGGTGCCAGTGTCAAGTATAAGGTGCCAGGTGTCAAGTATAAGGTGCCAGGTGCCAGTATAGATCAGGTTCAAGTATAGGAACAGTCAAGTATAAGGTGCCAGGTGTCAAGTATAAGGTGCCAGGTGTCAAGTATAAGGTGCCAGGTGTCAAGTATAAGGTGCCAGGTGTCAAGTATAAGGTGCCAGGTGTCAAGTATAAGGTGCCAGGTGTTAAATTATAAGGTGCCAGGTGTCCGAGTATAAGGTGCCAGGTGTCAAGTATAAGGTGCCAGGTGTCAAGTATAAGGTGCCAGGTGTCAAGTATAAGGTGCCCAAGAGTGTCAAAGTATAAGGTGCCAGGTGTCAAGTATAGTGTGCAGGTGTCAAGTATAAGGTGCCAGGTGTCAAGTATAAGGTTCCAAGTGTCAGGTATAAGGTGCCAGAGAACAGACAGACTTGAGAGGGACACACACACACACGTCAAATGGTCATCTCATGTACAATGCAAATATGGTGGTGGTGGTGGAAGTGGATCAGTGAGTGTGGTGGTAGTGGTGGTGGTAGTGTGGTGGTGGTGGTAGTAGTAGTGGTGGTGGTAGTTGGTGGCAGTAGTGGGTAGCTGGATGGAGGTGTGGTGGAAGGTGGTGGTGAGGTGGTGGTGGTGGTGATGGTGGTGGGTGGTGGTGGTGGTGATGGTAGTGGTGGTGGTGGTGATGTGGTGGTGGTGGTGGTGGTGGTGTGGTGGGGTGGTGGTGAGTGGTGGTGGTGGTGATGGTGTGGTGGTGGTGGTGGTGTGTGGTGGTGGTGGTGGTGTGGTGGTGGTGGTGGTGGTGTGGTGGTGGTGGTGGTGGTGGTGGTGATGGTGGTGGTGGTGGTGTGGTGTGGTGGTGGGTGTGGTAGTGGTGTGTGGTGGTGATAGTGGTGGTGGTGGTGGTGGTGATGGTAGTGGTGGTGGTGGTGATGGTAGGTGGTGGTGTGATGGTGGTGGGTGGTGGTGGTGGTGATGGTGGTGGTGGTGGTGGTGTGGTGTGGTGGTGGTGGTGATGGAGATGGTAGTGGTGGTGGTGGTGGTGGTGGTGGTGATGGTGGTGGTGGTGGTGGTGGTAGTGATGGTATGGTTGGTGGTGGTGGTGGTGATGGTAGTGGTGGTGGTTGGTGATGGTATGGTGGTGGTGGTGATGGTAGATGGTGTGATGATGGTGGTGATAGTGGTGGTGGTGGTGATAGTGGTGGTGGTGTTGGTGGTGTTGGTTGTGATGGTAGTGGTGGTGGTGGTGGAGATGGTGATAGTGGTGGTGGTGTGTGGTGATGTTGTGATGGTAGTGGTGGTGGTGGTGGTGGTGATGATGGTAGTGGTGGTGTGGTGGTGGTGGTGGTGGTGGTGATAGTGGTAGTGGTGGTGGTGGTGATGGTAGTGGTGAATTGGTGTGATAGTGGTGGTGGTGGTGGTGGTGGTGGTGGTGGTAGTGGTGGATAGTGGTTGTTGGTGGTGTTGGTTGTGATGGTAGTGGGATAGTGGTAGTGGTGATGGTAGTGGTGGTGGTGGTGGTGGTGGTGGTGGTGGTGGTGATAGTGGGAATGGTGATATTGGTGGTGGTGTGGTGTGGTGAGTGGTGGTGGTGGTGAGTGATGGTAGTGGTGATAGTGGTGGTAGTGGTGAGTGGTGATGTTGGTGGTGTTGGTTGTGATGGTGGTGGTGGTTGGTGGTGTTGGTGGTGATGTAGTGGTGGTGGCAGGTGGTGGTGGTGGTGATGGTAGTGGTGATTGTTGGTGGTGTTGGTTGTGATGGTGGTGGTGGTGGTGGTGATGGTGGTGGTAGTGGTGGTGGTGTAGTGGTGGTGGTAGTAGTGATGGTGGTGGTGGTGGTGTGGGTGATGGTGATGGTGGTGGTGGTGATGGTAATTAAGTGGTTAATTGGTGGTGGTGGTGGTGATGGTAGGTGGTAAAATTGGTGGTGGTGATGGTAGTGGTGGTGGTGGTGATGTTATTGGTGGTGGTGGGTGGTGGTGGTGATGGTGGTGGTGATGGTAGTGATGGTAGTGGTGGTGTTAGTGGTGTTAGTTGTGATGGTGAGTGGTGGTGGTAGTGGTGGTGGTGGTGATGGTAGTGGTGGTGGTGGTGATGGTGGTGATGGTAGTGGTGATGGTAGTGGGGTAATTGGTGGTGATGGTAGTGGTGATGGTAGAGGTGATGTGGTGGTGGTGGTGGTGATGGTAATAGTGGTGGTGATGGTAGTGGTGGTGAAAGTGGTGGTGGTGGTGATGGTAGTGAGTGGTGTGATGGTAGTGGTGGTGTTGGTGGTGATGGTTGGTGATGGTAGTGGTGGTGGTGGTGATGGTAGTGGTGGTGGTGGTGATGGTAGTGGTGGTGTGGTGGTGATGGTTGTGATGATGGTATGATTGAATTTTACAGTACAATAGGGATCCTGAAGACGTCACCCTGCAGACTCTGGGGTGACAATTCTTCAGGTGATCTATCCAATAATAACCCGAGCCTCTATACCATCACCTCCCATCTTCATTATATTCTGTATTCTGCCTATACTAATTATTTACCTGTCTGTAGTCCACTATTTAACTTTACTGTATCTACCTGTAATCCGTCCCCTGTAACTCTTGACTAAACCCACTGTCCTCACAACTCTGTAACCCGGATACAGTTCACCTCACAAACAGTCAAGAAATAAAGCTTCTGTAAAATAATCAATACAATCAGTCGCTGAATCTCATGAAATCTATAAAACCTCCTTGAACGAGTATATTATTTATGCCTGGATAAAGTCGATCTCTGTGACGGAAGATACAGTAAATAAGCAATATTTCAGGTTAATATCAAGTTACATAGATTCTGTTTTCTATACAATTTAATTCTAGTAACAAGAATATAGTTTTTAAAGTTGGGTTACATTTTGACAGGTTAGGTTAGGATTTAGGTTAGGTTAGATTAGGTCAGGTTAGGTTAGGTCAGGTTAGGTTAGGTCAGGTCAGGTCAGGTTAGATTATGTTAGGTCGCTATAGCACAATCAACCTCATATCAACAATAACGGAGAGTCAAGGTCAGGAAGTCCAGGTCACTATAGAACATCAACTCACATATCGACAATGACGGAGAAGTCAGGTCAAGGTCAGGTCACTATAGAACAATCCAACCTCATATCACAGTGATGGAGGGTGGTCAGAACCGATTTATAAGGTCAGGTTACTACAAAGAACAATCAACACTCATATCGAAAGTGACGGGAGGTCAGGTCAGGTCAGATAAGGTCAGGTCACTATAGACACAATCAACTTCCATATCGACAGTGACGGAGAGGTCAGGTCAAGATCAGTCAGATCACTTATAGAACACAATCAACACTCACATATCGACAGTGACGGAAGAATCCGGAATCAAGTCGGTCACTATAGGGCACAATCACACACCATATCGACAGTGACAGAGAAGTCAAGATCAGATAAGGTCACTGCAAAGACAAATCCACACATACATATAGCAGGAAGAGAGGATCAGTCCAGGTCAGGTCAGGTCGCTATAGAGACCAATCAACACACATATCGACAGTGACGGAGGTCAAGGTCGAGTCAAAGTCGATCACTATAAGACACAATCAACACTCACATATCGACGGTAACGGAAAGTCAGGTCAAAGTCAGGTCAGGTCACAGAACACAATCACTCACATATCGACAGTGACGGAGAGGTAGGTCAGGTCAGGTCAGGTCAGGTCAGGTCACTATAGAGACACAATCAACACTCACATATCGACAGTGGAGAGGTCAGGTCCCAGGTCAGGTCGGTCAGGTCACTATAGAGACACAATCAACACTCACATATCGACAGTGACGGAGAGAGTCCAAAGGTCAGGTCAGGTCAGGTCACAGATTTCAACCAACACTCACATATGGTGACGGAAGGGGTCAAGATCAAGTCAGGTCACTATAAGAACAATCAACTCACATATCGACAGTGATGGAAAACCAGGATCAGGTCAGGTCAGGTCAGGTCAGGTCACTGTAAAGAACACAATCAACACTCACATATCGACTGAAGGAGACCCAGGACAGGTCCAGGTCAGTCAGAGTCAAGAGACTTTTATCAACACTCATATCAACAGTAACGAAGAAGGTCAGGTCAAGTCAGGTCACTATAGAACCCAATCAACACTCACATATCGACAGTGACAGGAGGGTCAGGTCCAGGTCAGGTCATAGAGACACAATCACTACATATCGACAGTGGAGGAGGGTCAGGTTAGGTCAAGGTCACACACCCAAAACACAACACACCCCCCCACACAACACAACACACACCACACAAAAACCCCCACACACACACACAAACAACAACACCCCACCAACAACACAACATTATCGTCCCACAGTTGTTCTTGATCAGGACCAAGCAGCAATGGTCTGACTCTCGGACGAATGGAACCAACACGGGCCCTCAGATTCTTGAGCCCTGCCGCCTCCACCAACCCGCTTACCATCTCCGCCACCAAGGAGTCAGTTGTCACGAGGAACAAATGTAATGGAGAGGAGAGAGACACAGGATTAAAGAGAGAGAGAGAGAGAGAGAGAGAGAGAGAGAGACCTGTTCATCATCACTACTTAAGGGGCACAAGTTTGACCAGAGACTCAGTGTGTGTGTGTACGTGTGTGTGATGTGTGTCATGTGTACAAGACGCAGTTCAGAAGGTAGAAGATGGATAACAAGTCTGCACACACACACACACACACACACACACACACACACACACACACACACACACACCCGTTAACGACTCAGTGGATATTTAAAGGAAAACTACCCTAGTGAGATGGATGACGGCCCAAAACAACCAATCACAAAAGGGAATGGTGCCAGCCAAACAAAAAAGGTTGCAACAAGTGATGATTATGATTGAATTAAGCCTTATACACTACAGCCGTTTTCTAAAGTGAGGCCTTATAATTTGGTTATACTGGGGATATGTTGGTTATACTGAAAAACAAACCCCAACACAAACACAAAAAACAAAACAAACACCGAGTATGTTGGTTATACTGGGGTATGTTGGATATATAGGGTATATTGGTTATACTAGGAAACCAAAACAAAAAAATTTATACGAATTGGTTACACTGGGGTATATTTGGATATACTAGGGTATGTTGGTTATACTGGGGTATATTTGGAACATTATATTGGAAACAGGTATGTTAGTTATACTGGGGTATGTTGGATATACTGGGAAAACAAAACAAAAACAAAAAACAAACACAAAACAAACAAAAAACAAAAACAAAAACAAAACAAACAAACAAAACAAACAACAAAACAGCTATGTTGGATATACTGGGGTATATTTGGTTATACTGGGTATGTTGGATACTGGGGTATGTTGGTTATACTGGGTAATTGGTTACACTGGGGTATAATTTGGATATACTGGGGTATGTTGGTTATACTGGAACACACAGGTATGTTGGATATACTGGATTATGTTAGATATACTGGGGTATGTTGGATATACTAGGGTATGTTGGATATACTGGAGATATGTTGGTTATATAGGGTATGTTGGATATACTGAATTATGTTGGTTATACTGGTATGTTGGATATACTGAGGTATGTTAGTTATACTAACAAAAAACAAAAACAAAACAAAACAAAAAACAAAAAAACAAAACACAACACAAACAAAAACAAACAAAAAAAACAAAAAACAAAAAGGGTATATTGGATATACTGGGGAATATTTAGTTATACTGGGGTATTGGATATACTGGAGTATGTTGGATATACTGAAATAATGTTAGATATACTAGATTATATTGGATATACTGGGAGTATATTTGAATATACTGGATATGTTGGATATACTGGGGTATGTTAGTTTATACTAGGTATGTTGGATATACTGGAATAATATTGGTTATACTGGAATTATCTTGGACATACTGGGAGTATGTTGGTTATACTGAAAAAAACGGGTATATTGGATATACTAGGGTATGTTGATTATACTGGGGTATATTTGATTATACTGGAGTATGTTGGTTATACTGGGGAGTATGTTGGTTATACTAGGGTATGCACAAAAACAAAACAAATTGGATACTGGAATATGTTGGTTATACTGAAATATGTTGATTATACTGGGGTATGTTGATTATACTGGGGTATGTTGGATATACTAAGGTATATTTGGTTATACTGGGGTATGTTAGTATATACTAGAATATGTTGGATATACTAGAATATCTTGGTTATACTGGGGTATGTTGGATATACTGAGGTATGTTGGTATACTGGGTATGTTGTTTATACTGGGGTATATTTGGATATACTAAAAACAAAAAAAACCACAAAAAAACAGGTATGTTGGTTATACTGGGGTAATTGGATATACTGCAAACAAACAAAAAACAAAAACAAAAAAACAAAAACAAAAAACAAACAAAAACAAAAACCACAACAAAACAAACCACAAAAACAAAACAAAACAACAAACAAACAAAACAAAACAGGGTATGTTAGCTATACTGGAATATGTTATTTATACAGTGGTATATTGGATATACTGGAATATGTTGGTTATACTAAGGGGTATATTGGATATACTAGTATGGGAATACTCTGCCCACAAAACACATAACTCTCTCAAACCCTCACAGAACAGGCTTAGGTTAGGTTAGATTAGGTTAGGTACAGTACTCACAGAGATATAAGGTGTACACAGTAGTGCAGTTCTCGACAACCTTCCTCAGGTTCATGGTGATGTTGGAAGACTCTCGTTCACGGTGTAAAGAAGAACATCCTGGGCAGATCAAGTGTATTACCCTCACCCCACACCGCCATCTCATACACAGGAACACACACATGAGTTTCTGTTGCCTACTAACCTCATTTATTTAACCTACCTAACCTCATTTAACAACACCAACTATCTTTGACCCAGGTACAAGATAAGTTTTATGATGAGATACAAGTTAACTAACCTAACATAAACTAACAAAGTAAACTCAATTAACATAATCTAACGTCATTTAACCTAAACTAACCACACAAAACTAGAATAAAATTGACTTTCAAATTAATAATCTCCCCAATCTAATCTAACTTAAGTTAATTTAGATTAAATTAAATTAATAAGGAGATTTGGGAGAGATTAAGATGGAGAAAAGATATAGATAAATAGATGAATAAAGAGAGAGAGAGAGAGAGAGAGAGAGAGAGGAGAGAAACAGGAAATAAGACAGAAAAATATACCTGTCACACACCCAAAGGTGGGGTACGTAAGATTAGGGACATGGTGACCAGTGTAACTTCAGGCAGGCACTAGACACACATGGCACCTCAGTGAGTCTGAGCTGACATTCTAAGTCCTTCACTCTTGGGAGGATTCAGGTTAGGTTTGGATGCAAGTTAAGTTTGGTTGGGTTGGGTTATGATAGGTTAAGTGGGGTAGGTTGGTTGGGTTAAATTAGGTTTAGTTTGGTTGGAGTTAGGTTGGGATTTAGGTTAAGGCTGTTACATGTCTAAGACGGTCTGTAAGCAGGTCTGGGTGGTCTGCATGGTCAGGTGAGTCTCTTGGTATGATTAGATCATAAACAGCTGGGTGAGCCATAGGACAGTCTAGGTAGGTCATAAACAGGATCTAAGGTGAGTCTCCACAGTAGTCTGGGTGAGTCAGAGAGATGCTTACTTAATGGTAGCGTTAACCTGCGACAGGTCTGGAAGGCAAGGCGCTGTGGTGTCGTGGGCGCCAACTACAGTCTAGGTACTCTCGTTCCCTGTCCAAGTTATTATATCAAGTACTTGAAGGTGTTCACGCCTCTCCTGCGCCAGCGACTCGACAGTAGTACCTGGTAGGGGACGTCAAGTAAACAGTTACATGGAGCAAAATACCAGGGACGATAAACCAAATATGTAGGGGACGTCAAGTAAACAGTAATTAGACAGAAATACCTGCACAGGAACGTCAGTAAACTGGTAATTAGATAGAATACGGGGATTAATTTGACACAAAAAGCCATAAAGACAAACCTAATAATAAGTAAACTTTAAAAGCTACCTATCAAGCAGAAAACAAGCTATGCCTCAAGCAGAAGTAACTAAAACCCTCAAACAAGTAAACAGCAAAGCTGCCCTCTTTAGTAAACAAAGCTGCTAAGTAAACAAAGCTAACCAAATATGCAACTACCCTCAAACAGTAAACAGCTATACCTAACAATAAACAAAAGCTATACCCCAAACATAAACAAAAACTCTGCCTCAAAACGAAAATGACAAGCTATACCCCCAAACATTAAATAAAGCTATGCCCCTCAAACAAAGCCAGCTACCCCAAACTAAGTAAACCAAAAGCTATACCACCAAACAAATGAAATAAGCTATATCCCCAAAAGTAAACAGCTATGCCACCAAACAAGAGTAAACAAAAGCTATATCACAAAAAAATGACAAAAAGCTATACCAAACAAGTAAGCAAAGCTACCCAAACAAATTAATAAGGTTATACCACCAAACAAGTGAAGCAAAGCTATATCCCAAAAGTAAACTTAAAAGCTGTACACTGAAACAAGTAAACAAAGCTATACCCCAAACTAGTAATAAAGGTTATACCAAGCAAATTAAACCATGCAAAAGCCTGTTCAATCGACATAACACAGAACAACTTTTAAGACTGTAAACATGGATAACAAATTA